CAGATACACCCATCGTGGAGCTTGGAGGCACTAGGGTATCGTCTTTCACGAGAATCTTGCTCACTTTCGAAGAACTGTCTTCCGGCGTCAAATGCGAGAAGGGGGAGAGTTCAATTTCGGCGGTGGCACAATGGATGACGGCGTCGTTGCGGGAGAGAAAATCCCACCCCAGGATGACGTCATGAGAGCATGCGGGAATGATGATGAATTGGGCGACATACAGAACGTCCTGAACGACAACGCGAGCTGTGCACCCTGCTGTAGGATGGATACGATGCAAACCGGCGGTACGAAGGGACAATCCAGAAATTGGCGTCGTCACTTTACGAAGCAAGCGGCAAAATTTTTCGTCCATAACAGATACTGCAGCTCCTGTGTCAATAAGAGCAGATGCGTGAACACCGTCCACAAGCACGTCAATGACATTAGATGGGCGGCTCTGAGGGCTTTCACAATGCGATAGCGTCGCAGTCCTTGCCTCGGGGACTGCGACGACTAGTTTTCCCGCTCGTGAGCAGCTGAACTTGGCCGCATGGGGGACGGGGAACGACGTCGTGGAGACGGTGACCTACGAGAAGATGAAGCTAGGCGAGTTGGCGGTGGCATAGACGATGTTTCCTCGTGATAGGTACGCCTAATCTGGCCAGCAACAGGCGACGAGATATGGGGCGTCTGTACGCGAGTGCAATAACGTGCTACGTGGCCGGCGTAACCGCAGGCAAAGAAATGGGCCGGTTGTCGGATGTGCGCCATCGGTTCGCCGGGGTAGGTCTTGTCCATGACGCAAGAGCCGATGGACGGAACGGTGGCTGGAAAGGCTGCAGGGGGTGCTGGAGCTGAGTCTGAGAGGTCACGTCAACATACGTAGCCGGCATACCCGCTGCAAAGGATGGAGGTCGTGCGGCAGCTTCGGCGTAAGTCAGTGGGGCGGGCGCTTGAACGACTGGAGGCGGCCTGGCGACCACTTGGGCGTAACTTGGGGGTACAGGAGCCGGAAGCTGCTGTGGGTGGTACGCAGGCATAACCTCCGCTATTTCCTGCTCAATCGCTCGGCGGATGGGGGGGGGGGGGGAATGGTAGTGGCCGATTGTTGAGCAGCCGGTGGGTGGGCGAAGGGCAGGAGAGAGAACTGCCGTGCGATTTCCTCACGTATGAAGGACTTGAGGTCTGCCAGCAGTGCCACCTGGTCACAGCTCGCCTCCAAGCCTGCAAGCCCTGCATCTCGTGGTGTGGAGCGACGGGTCATCGAACGCTGCCGGCGGAGCTCCTCGTAGCTCTGGCACAGCGTGATGACCTCAGCTACTGTGCCTGGGTTTTTGGCCAGCAGCATCGTGAAGGCATCATCGGCAATGCCCTTCATGACGTTCCGGATCTTGTCTGATTCGGACATGCTGTCGTTGCATTTCTTGCATAGGTCCAAGACGTCTTCAATGTAGCTGGTGAATGATTCACCGGCCTGCTGAGCGCGTTCGCGTAAGCGCTGCTCGGCTTGCAGCTTACGAACGGCAGGGCGGCCAAAAACGTTGGTGATAGCGGTCTTAAAATCGGGCCAGGTTGCGAAATCAGACGCGTGGTTGTTATACCACATGCCGGCCACACCCGCGAGGTAGAAAACCAGGTTGCCGAGGTTGCCTGCCTCGTCCCAATGATTGGGGACGCTGACGCGTTCGTACATGACGAGCCAGTCCTCGACGTCGGTGTCATCCGCGCCGGTGAAGACAGGTGGGTCGCGGATGCGGGGGACACCGGAACATGGCGTCGGCGCAGGAGGAAGCGTTTGCTGGGCGGCGTCTTGTTGCATGGTTGAAGGCACGGTACGGGATCTAAGCTCCAAGGGCATCGAATGTGAACCGAAGATGTTTGAAGGGCACAGCACTCTCCACCAAAATGTTAAGGCGTTTAATAGCCGGTCCACAGCGAGCAAGCACAATGGCGACAGTAACGGCCAAGCACGGGCTCTCAGTGCGAGTGGCGTCCTTGTTGGGTAGCCCCACTAGAAGGTACTGAAGAGTTCGACCCATTTCATAGTTCGGAGGCTTCGCTACAATATATATATATATATATATATATATATATATATATATATATATATATATATATATATATATATATATATATATATAGGGGAAAAAACTCTCGACTATCTCCCCGAAGGGAGTTCTGATGGGGCGCGAAGCAGCAGCGGTGTGAAAGGCGTTGACCCGGTAGAAACGGGCGTCAACGCGTGTGCTGAAAGAACAGTTTGAAGCAAAACTCGATGCCGCGTTTACTCGAGTAAACGTTTGTTTGAATCGCAATGACGCGGAAGGTGGGGCGCGTTAAAGACATTTGCACTCGCCTTCCTTGGCTCGCGTCTCGTCGGGGTTACTCGCGCGCCGTCTGTATTCTCAAACGCAATCATTGTTCTTAACTCGCACCTTGTCGGTGTCGCTGGTCTTCCACTGCCGACGCTTGCAGTCGGATTCCCTGGCTCGCGTGTCGTCGGTGTTGACGTCGCCATTCGCGAACGCGTTCAGCTTCGCTAACCCTCGCAACACCAGCGACCGCCGGGAAAGGTATGCGCGCACTAGCGGGAAATATGCCGTGACGGTGTCCCGCCCGTCGGCGTAATCGCGTGGCAAGCAGCGGCGTGCTGTCCATAATCTCGGCGCCGCGAGATTCTCAAGACGCGCGCACCTGCCGGCTCGCGGCTTGTTCTCGCCGACAGGTGAAGAGAGTTAGCGTGGACGAAATGATGCCCACGCGAAGAGTGGGCTTAAGCGGTGGAGAGTGTGAACCGAGGGAGCTGATATGCGGCAGGCGAAGGAGAGAGACGTCACCGCGCACTGCTAGGAGGGCGTGACCTACTTGGCATCGCTCCAACACCTGCGGCGAGGGGAGCTGTGCGGACGGAGGGACAGCGTTACACAGGCTTGTCATAGCTGCTTTACATCTAAAAAAGCCACCCACGCTCGGCGCTTAGCTCCTAGCTCGTCGCGATGCGCCGAAGCACGCTTTTTATTTATAGATATTGTGATCTGTTCCCAGATCTTATCACGGTGGTTATACGTGAAAAATACAAACAACAAAATAAGCGAGCGCTTATCCTTCGGTGGGGACAATCGTGTGCCTTCGCCTTTTACTGGAACGATTGCGTTAGTTGCCGGGCCCACACAGGTCCCTTCGCTCGCTGCACGCCGTTCGAGAAAAGAGCGCACTTTTCATACACATCGATGTGTAACAACTGGAAAACTTGTTAGTTTGCACTCATCTGTACTTGTAATTACGCTTCGCACACCGTTTGTGATAAGCATGGCTTCAAGCGTCGAGCTGTAAACGTTAGTTCACGCTCATCCTGTGACGGTGTTGTTCTCGCGCGTCATTTGTGCGTGAGCCGCGTGACTATTTACAGTGAAAGGTGTTATGATATCACAGCTCGGGTCTCGCGCAGGGCCGTACTTGTCAACCACCACTGCCGCCGCCGGCGTGCTTAAACACATAGCGCGAAATTAATAAAAAAAACCTAGTAACAATGACACACTGGGACTTGATCCTGGGTCCACTGGGTGCCAGCCCAGTATTCTACCACTGAGCTACGCCGGTGCTTGGGACTTGTTGGCAAACTTGCCTTAGGCAGACTTGATGTCGGGAAAGCAAACGCGTCAAAACGACTTATAAAGCATTTTTAAAACGCGAAAGAACAAGCAGTCGTTGCACAATGCAATTAGCGTAAAGAGTGGGTCGTCCATTGCTCGAAGCCATTACAAAAAGCTTGTGTTTGTTCCGCTAATAACTGTGGTGCATACCCAGGCGTAATTTCTCAATCATCGTCAGCCACTGCATGAACAATTGGCACGCAATCACTCGCAATAGTTTAGCAAATACCACGCTTCTCAGAAGAATTTAAAAAAAATTACATGCCGACTGCTGGCGTACTAACCTGAAACTTTTACTATTAATGCCTTAGTGCGCATCACACAAGTGTGCTTGCAGCAGTTACCCAATAAGTGTTTAGATAAGGCTTTGAAAGGATGCTCTTTTAGCTTTCGCTGGGGCTGTGCTGAAACTTCCACGCAGGCCTGGCGTTTTTTTTTTCCTTGCCTATGGGTGAAAATTACGCTTGAGAATAGTTCATGGAAAGATGTCTTGGCGGCTCGATGTGATGATAAATCACCGCACGATGAACATAGCAGGCACCTAAAATTTTGAATAAGGAGCTTCTCATTCACAGGCATACCAAGGTGCTATGTTGTCTCTTGCAGATAAGCTTGCGGTAAACAGTTCGTAATCATTAACTGATCTTTTAGCCTAAACAATGCCAAATGCATCACTTCGACACAGTGGCACGGAATCGTGATGATTTATTCTTCATTTCATTTACATGTTTCATCAGGCCTGCTGCAATCCTAGACGATATGCTGTTTATTCTTTTGTGTGTGTGCGTAGTGTGTATCACACCACAGCTGATAGTTCCATATCCTCTGCACACTGTTTGGCCTAGGATCGTGATATACTTCCTGTGACAAAATATACCCGATCAAGAAGAACCGACCAGGCTAATACAATTGACAGCTACTTCTTCCGTTTTGTAGTTCAGGCTTTTTGTGTTGGCAGACATGCTCACTAAAGAAATCGGGCGCCGCGTTGGTATGGCGTTACGGTGCTCGGCTACTGCTGCAAATGTCGCTGGTTCGAACCCGGCTGCTAGGTGCAGCATTACCGAAGAGGCGAAATTCTAGAGGGCTCTTTTAGTGTGGCATGTCAGTGCACGGAAAAAAAAACACCAGACGGTCTAAACTTCTCGAGTCTTCAATTACGTCATACCTCGTAATTATAAAGTGGCTTGGCCACATTAAACCCTAGATAAGCATGAATAAGTCAGACACGGTGGTGTGAACACTTGCGAGTTCACTGCACATTACTTCAGCGTAATCTTAAGAATGCCACTTGTTTTTCAGTGACTCCTCGTCACTGCAGTTTGTAAGCGTGATGTCTCTAAATAATTGCGCTCCCTTTTGCAGCGTCATGTCGGAAGTCGTGTTACTCCGAGACTTTGAGGACGATGTTCCCAAGGACTTAAGGATCAGCTTCTGCGAGAGCTTGCCGCGGGAGGCGCTGTGCATACTGTGTGAAAACGTGTCCGCCCGTCTGTACAAAGATCGAAAGGGACACGGTTACTGCAGATCCTGTCGTGAAATGTGCAAGCGTGAAGATATGTTCCACTGCGCTACTTGCAAAGACGACTTTTATGTTTGTGAGGTAAGGAAAAGTGCCTTGCAAGTTGGATCTATCTATCTATCTATCTATCTATCTATCTATCTATCTATCTATCTATCTATCTCTCTATCTATCTATCTATTCGCCTATCTATTCGCCTATCTATTTACCTATCTATGTGCCTATCTATCTGTCTATCTATCTATCTATCTATCCCCCTATCTATCCGCCTATCTATCTATCTCATCTTAGAACAGATAAAACGTATTACAAGCTACTCGCTTGTGATATAGGAGTGCGAATACCTGTTCTTCTAGCCTGCAGTGGAAAGTAACGCATACTGATGGAGAATGCTGGAAAATATCGGTACTCCTATATGGAACTTCATGCTGAGCTACCTTAAGCTGTCCCGCCCCGCCGAGGTGGTCTAGTGGCTAAAGTACTCGGCTGCTGACCCGCAGCTCGCGGGATTGAATCCCGGCTGCGGCGGCTGCATTTTTGATGCAGGCGAAAATGCTGTAGGCCCATGTGCTCAGATTTGGGTGCACGTTAAATAACTCCAGGTAATCGAAATTTCCGGAGCACTCCACTACGGTATCTTTCTTAACTAAAGGTGGTTTTGGGATAGTAAACCCCCCCAAATCAATCAATGAATCTTAAGCTGTCCCGTAGTTTCACTTCATCTAAGCATCGTGATGAAAATGATTTGCAACACCAGCAATCGTCTGCAAGACACTCATTATATTCGGCTGGCTGTACAAAATGATTGTGCTCTCCGAGCTTTTCGTTCTACTCCTGAAAGCTTTCAATGTACCAACTATCTCAATTATCAGCCCTTCTGCCGGTGTATCTTACTTGCCTTCAGAAGAAATTTTTTGATGACATATAGAACATGACTATATCAATGAACTTTTTTTTCTTCATAGCTGGAGCAAGAGCCATCCATACACGATGCGATAAGGAAAGCTCGAGTTATCTGTCCGAGGAGCAATCCAGATGAACCTGTGGAGATCCCCTTTAAAGCCCTAACCGTATGCTGCACTTTGTATTTCATTCACTTTTTCACAAGTTTAGACCCGAAAGCAGATGCGCATCAGCTGTGTTTTTTTTTTAATATTTATAAAAGTATATATCTCTTTCTGTGCCTCTTTAAGCCTACCGGTCAACAAAGCGGTAAAATACTGTACAGAAGCCAGAGGCATGGTGCTACCACAGGAATAGCAAGGAAGGCAGGAATAGTTCAACCTTCCCCTCCATAGTTTTTAAATTGTGTATCTATACAATATACATGCATGCATGCAAACGCACGTGTGAGCATACGTAAAGTATATTCAAACCCTTCTACCTAACAGAAATTTCTGGATCCACCCCTGAATGCTACGTAGTCTTTTTTTCCTGCTCGTTTTTGACATCAGTCGAAGCGAGTTTGTAGTCCAGCTACAGTAAACTGACACAGGAAGACGTTTTAAAGGGGCCCTGTAATACTTTTTTTGAGTTGTAAGCACGGGAGTCAAGGCTGCCGAGAACACGTGAGCCAAATGTTACAGCCCAGCACGTGGCCTTGAATTCACAATAAATTCTCACTAAGACTAAAATTACTCGCTCTTCTCTGCAAAATAGACAATACAAGCTCGAAAATCTCTATTCCCAGCGACTTGTTTATTGGCGCACTCTGTTTTTACTGTGGTCGCCACGAGGAACCGCGATTTGTCCACGCGTGGGCACTCGATCGAATTTAAAAGACGCGTATCAGAAAAAAAGTGCTTAAAGGCCAACTCCAGCGATTTTAGGACCATGTCAAGGTAATGGTGTTTCTATGTTCCAGAGACACTTTTGCCACGAGCCCAATAGCTGCAATGCTCAGGACACTTGAAAACTATTTATAATGAGCAAAAAGGTGCAATACCGAAACCGAAATCCAACCGGTCGCCCTGTCTGCGTATGACGTACTATTTGGCAAGAACCGGAGGCAGTATACTGGTGCAGCCGGCGCGGAGTATGGAAACTGTGAAAGCCAGACCGGAGAAGCGCTGGCCAAACGTCACAGAGGAATGAAGAAAGCTTTTCCGTGCTATACCCGTGCCAAACATCGCTATTGTCGCCTTGTGGCTAGCACAATAAATGCTGTTGCGGCCAAAGTAGCGATGCCATCGGCTGCGTCACTTCCGTTTACGTGCCAGACATGACGTCACACACAGTGTTGCTAATAATTCTGGCCAACGAGATGAGCTTTTCTGGACAATTTCGAAAATTCATTTGCGATGAATAAGCGCATCTGTCAAGCATATAATTTGGCATAAATGACGGAAATGTGCAAAGCAACGTACCCAGTCATTTTCATTGAGATACATTAACCTCGAAAAATCGCTGGAGTTGGCCTTTAAGGTTAAGAGCGTGCGTGACGTATTTTCTTTGCCGTGCCATCCCTCCCTGCTGAGATTTGAGAGCTTTCGTTGGGACCAGAGAAGAGAGAATGCAACCACAGCGTGTGACGAAGCTGTGTAATTTTACAATATAAATCTGCAACTCCGCTCGCAGATTTCGGATTCTGAACATTTCTTTGATTGTGAATTCGTGAGACAATAACCTCTTTTAGTGAATTCATTCTACGGCTTCTTGAAAAAGGTATTGCAGTGCCCCTTTAAGGTCAGTTGTTGATCCCACGCAGCACTATCGAAAACCGCCGAATCGACCGTCCTATCACCAGTGCATGCAAGAGTTCCGCTGCTCTTGGTGAGGTCGAGGAAACGTGTCACCTGTTAGTGCCATTCTTCTGGCTTGTTCCTTTGATGAGACGTTATTAAAACGTATTCAACTAAACATACGTGGAATCGCGAAGTCGGGTGCTGTCCAGCAGCGTCTCTGCAAGCTAGCTGTCAAGAGAAAATGACGCTGTAGGCTGTCTCCTGAGCTTAACATTGGTGCCTCAGCATGAAAGAAGCCATTGCTGTCAGATACTAAGGATGAGAGCATTGAACTGGTTTAACACAAGACACGCCTTTATAACACTTGACTACGGATTAGGTTACTTCAAATTTCGCATATTTATTTTTTGAAACAAAAAGAAGAATGGCGTAGGTTTTGAATGCATGAAATTGCAAGTTTAGATTGGAACAGTGATGAGATGTTGAGGTAATCTGGTACGCAAGAGCAGCGGATCACTAAAAAAAAAAAAAACTCCTCCTTCACAGAAATCTGTGCAACACGAAAGTAAAACGTGTTTCTAGATAAATGGTTTAATGTCTGCTGTATTTTGACATCAAAGATCTTGTTAGGCCCCAGATATTATCATTGACATAGGAGAGGTTATACAATGTCTGTTGGTATTTTACAGCTAAGCCACCATTTAACTACATCTACATCCTAATGACTAACGTCATTGAATAATGAGTAATCATTGTTCTTGCGGTTATAAATGCTTGTGGTAGCTGTAGTAACGTTGAGGGGCACCAGAAAAAAAAATCACGGCATATCTACGGAGTACATGATGAGGAGTGGGGTGAAGAGTCCACAAGTCCGTCCGCCCGTTCGTGCGTCCGTCCGTCCGTCCACACGTCCATCCGTTCGTGCACCTGTCTGTGCGTCTGTCCATCCGCTCGTCCATCTAGTGAACACTCCAAGTACCGCCATCTGGCATCTTTTTATCATATATTCATTGTGTAAAAGTAACGCCATCCAGCGGATATTCCAAGGACTAAACAAGGAGTAGCACGGCCGAACTAGAGGAGTGGCACACGCAAACTGTCTCACGGCTCACGCTTCGTGCCTAGTTCCCACCTTTCACCGCCGCTAAATCATGGCAACGCGGCCCAACCCTTGCTAAACCTGTGTGTTTAGGAAAAAAACGGTTAACGATTTAGAGTACTTGGTACTCCACTGTGGCAGAGCATATAGCCGTCCCGTGGGTCACCACCTACCGTGGGTGATGTGAAAACAGACTGACTTGCTAAAACCAAGCAGGTTACGCGACACCCAATGAGTTTAACGTGGCAATATTTCTCAGGTGCTACTCTGGACACTGTCGAATAGCGTCATGTTGTGAACTTTTGTATTGTCGGCATTGTAAGCCAATCAGAGAAGTCGTAGGAGCTCACTTGGCCAATTATCATCGATCGATGGCATAATCTGACAACATGACGGCATTCGACAATGTCCAGGAAAGCATTTCTGGACAGGTAGTGTTCAAAGTACGTCCTTCTGCTACTGTTTTTTTTTTTTTTGGCAAGCATCACATTCAGAGCAAAATTTATTGGAGATTAAGTAACTGACACTTGTCCCTCTAGGTTATTTCATCAGAAACAACTATCTTTTTATTTATGAATAACGTGCGCGGGTTTTCTCCTCATTTAAAAATGTGCGCGCGTGCCGCTCGTTTAGTCCGGCAGTGTAGGTGGCTACCTACTACTACTACTAGTACTACTACTACTACTACTACTACTACTACTACTACATACATCTCGGACTCACGAACCACGGCATAAGGAGCTTCGTCCCTAAAAGTGGTGTGACAGCCAGAAGAGCGTGACGGATTGTACGCCATACTTGGGCTACTTGCTGCATGTTTCCAGTCAACTGTAAATGCTTCAGGTATTTCATTTCATTTATTTACTCTCAAGGCCGAAGCATTACAGAGAGGAGCGGGTATACATCGTACAGAAAATCAGGAAATACAGCAAATCAAAATTATATGCGCACAATGGCGGTCTGAAAACCATAAAAGAAAAGAAAGACTGCGTGATGTGAAGAAAAGGCAGGGTGGTTGTAACAACAATGTTCAACATGGTTGCGTCTTTGAATGACACGCGCACACAAAAAACTAACAAGAGAAAACACAGCGTGACTTAAGTGGCGAATTTACGCGAAGTGGTTAGAGAGGGCGTTTTTAAACAAAGTGAGGTCAGTGAACGCCACTAGCCGACAGAAGGAAAACGCAACGCGCGCTGTGTCTTTGCTCGCCGGTCCCGATTTTTTGCGGCACCAGTGTAAGTGGGGAACGTGGAGTTACATAAGATATATACAGTATGGCCTTCCTTCTAGCATGAGTGGGCCCGCTACCAGCTGGCGGCCGGCGGCCGTTGGCGTGCCCCGGTAGCCACATGGTGTCGTGTGAGAGGACGGACGGGTGGACGGATCGAAGTAAACGTTGAGGATTAAAAGATTCCTACTTGAAAAGTAAGACCATAAAACAGAAAATACATAGTCGAGTCAGAAATTAGATCCCCTCACAAGAAAGGCTCAGAAAAGGACACGAACAAGCGAATTAACACACGAACAGAGCACGAAAGAGCAGGACAACACAAGAAAATCACGGAGAAGTGCCGACAAGGTATACATCAAAAAGATGAATATGTGCTCCGAAATTTATCCTGCTTTTCTTCGTGGTGGTAGCATAGAGAAGTGACTTACATTTTGTGTTCAGAAGAAGTGTTTGACGATTTACAGTACGTGCTACTCTAGTACAGGAAAACAGAAAGCGGTCTTTGTGTGTTTGGAAAAAGTTAACGATTTAGAGCACTTGGTGCTGTACTATGGGACAGCGTATTACCCTTTGGTGGGGCTCACACTCGATGAGGTCGTGTCGATAAAAATTATGCTAACTCGTGTGGAGCCCTTTGTTTAGAAAAAGTTAACAGTGTAGAGCACTTAGAGCTTGCTCTACTATGGCATATCACGTGACCACGTCGTTATGAATTACTGAGTAGGCGCGACCCCCATCCTCCCACCCTACCCACTGGGACTCTTAGGAGGAGAGGGGCAGCTTTTCTCCGAAACAACGAACGATCACCAGGCAGGTGGTTGATATGACAAAATTTTGGGTTTTTTTTTTTTTGGGGGGGGGGGGGGTGGGGGCAGATTGCTGCTCTTGCTCCTGAAGAGAGCGGCAGTGGGTGTCCAGTGTGCAGCTCCATGGTCGTCTGCAGCTCGTCAAACGGCTGGTAAAAACCACCAGAGTAGTCTAGTAACACTGGTCTCTCCCTCCGTTCGCCTCGTCCGAGTGAGTGGGGTACATTTGTGACGTTTTCTTGCGAGTTGACATCACTATACACATAGGCTCCGCCTTTATCCCCCAGTATTTGCCCCCGTCTGAATACCCATTCACGGTGTGGGCCGTTCCTTCCTCTGTATTATTACTATTATTATTATTATTATTATTATTATTAGTAGTAGTAGTAGTAGTAGTAGTAGTAGTAGTAGTAGTAGTAGTAGTAGTAGTAGTAGTAGTAGTATGTAGTCACCTCTAGTTTGTGACTTGCTCAATAGTTAGCATTACGCATTATCATGATAATTCACTCCGTGAATATGTTGTGAATGTTTTTAAGTGCAAGGTACTTGAGGTGCCCGACAGGTCGTCTGTCCATGCATATCTTTTTTTCAATACCTGCATAACTCGTCTTTATATCTTCATGAATACGTTTTCACGTTGTTGCCTTTTTTTTTTTTAGGAGTGAAGCTCCTTATGCCTTGGGTCGTCCCCTGATACGTTTGTAGTATGCAGCCACCTCTAGTTTATGACTTGCTCAATAGATAGCGTGAGCGGTTTTCACAAAATACACACACAGTGAATGATGATGAGTGGGGCGAACCGTCTGTTCATCCATCCATGTGTCCAACCACCCATCCGTCTATTCGTCCATCTGTCTGTTCATGTACACTTCCATCCGTCCATGCGTCCACAATTCTGTCTGTCCGTCTGTTGGTCCATCCATGCTTCCGCTCATGCATGCATCCGTCGGCCATCTGTCGGTTCACCCGTGCTTCCCTTCAACCATGCGTTCGTCCGTCTATGCTTCCGTTCATAAGTCCGTCCATGCGTCCATCCATCCATTCGTCCATGCTTCTGTCCGTCAGTCCGTGCTTCTGTCCGTCCATCCGCGCCTCCGTCAGCCCGCCCCTTTCTTCGTTTGTCTGTCCGGATGCATGATGAATGGACACACAGACGAACGGACGGACGCTTCGCCTCACTCTTCATAATTCATTCCATGGATATGCTGGGATTTCTTTATTTGCAGAACTAGGGCTATTTGTTGCTCAATATTTGTTCTTCACACTTCCTTATGTTCGTTCACTTTGTGCGTTGTCGAATTGCAGTTCTTTGTACATTCAGTTTCTGCCTGGGCCTATATTTGGGCATGCAGTGTTGTGTAAATAAAATGAACAATGTAAACCTCCTGCAGCGTGGTTAAGCTCACAGTAAAGTACTCACACCTAACCATAAGAGGGCTAAGAGTGCTCAACACATGATTAAGATCAGGGAACAAGCTATAATATGATGCATTTAACAAGAATAGGGCTATCGATTTATTTAAAATCCCTCTAAATTATCGCAAACATAGGAATGAATGAAGAAGGTGCTTGCGAGAGGGGGCACCACCACCTTGTCAAAAGTTGAATGCCCCTCATTCGATCAGCGTCGGCGTCAGTGCGATGCTGAGTTGCTACGTTACTACATCTTATGTGGGAAACAAGCTGACGAAAGTTGCTGCGGACAACGCGGATTGCAACCGGTGTATACCCAGCATGAATTTGATAAAGAGAAGCAAAAGGAAGCACAAATGTGGAACGCCAAGTATAGGAATCTGCGTGGCAAGATTTTGCTCTGTACCTGGGAAATTTGACCTGCTTACGCCAAACATTGGGGTCATTGGCGCTTTGTTAAACCAATCACTGCTATATTTACGAACAGCAATCCCTGGGTTCCCATGCAGTGCACTTCCTAAAGCTTCACAGTAGTGAAAGTGTCTTGTTTTTGTGTGTTTCTTTTGGATGACAGTGAGCTATACTCCCGGACAGTTTGCACAATTCTTTTGTCTTAGGATCTTTCAGAGGACCATACAATTCGCTATATGAGACACCATTCTCACGTTGTTTTTTTTCATGTGAAAAATGTCAAACCGCTTTTTCATCTTGTATATTTTTTCATCGCTACACCTTAACGCCAATATGTTATCACTTTTTCACGAATGAGCGCAGGACGTGGCTCGTGCAACAACATAGATACTTAAGTTCGCGCTCTCTGTTATTTTTATTTACTGTTTGGGATGAGAAACATCGCTTTGTAATTTAAACGAAATTCGTCTGGTTTCATCTTTCTTCCAGGCTCACCTCAAGAACTGCCCTTGCAACGTTGTCGCAGCTCCTCTAAATCGATCCTCTGACTCGGTAATTAGTATGTTCATCATTGATCATGCACATCCTGGCCTGGGAAATATTTTTATATAGGATGATTGCTGTCAATTGCAGAAATAAAAGTAAGATGCAGCTCCACCGCTTTTTTGAGGTCTAATAGAGAGGATAATTATCTCCATGACTATTTCTGCATTATTGAAGTAACCATTCGTAAGAACTTTTATATGTCGCACACACAAAGTAAGCTGGGGCAATCGTCAGGTCATATGAGTGGACATGAATGTCTCTGTATACTTGAAGACGCTCTGGTACGCTGTCTCTTAAGCTTATAATCTATAAGCTTTTCTTGTTCGAGTTCTCTTTATTTATGTACTACTGAATGAATGCGACATTTTTGTCAGATTGTCAAAGCGTATCTATCAGGACAGCAACAAGGCTTGTTAACCCTGGTGGTCTGCAAGAATAAAAAAAGTTTATGTAAAATTAGATTTTTTTTAATTTTATCAGACACTAATCAGCTTATATTTATGCGGGCCGCGGCGCCTTAGCACGTAAAGTTTTACTGCAGTAGTCAAGGGCGCAGGTTCAGTTCTGGCCCAAGGCCTCCACAATTTGACGGTCACGAAATGCAAAGCCCTCCATGATAGTGGGTCTCGCAGTATTATGGTTTTCGTCCCCTAAAGACCCAGGAGTTCTTATTATCACCCCTTTTTTCTACAGCGTTCATCAGGAGAACAACAATGCCCCATTGACCGCACTGATCCTCAAGGAGAAAGCAAGGGCTCCAAGGTAAAAAAAAAACAATGATAGACATACGCGACCTAATATTACTCAATATCATTAATTTACTCAATATCATTACCTTGTGAAAAAGAGAAGGCTGATTTCTAAAAATAATAACATAAGAAACTTAGCAACCATGACACAGCGATCGGGGCTTGTTATCCGGAGTGCACTGCAACCGGTGTTATGCAACCTAGAACAGTTAGGCTGCTGGAGTGGTTCCCGGCTGCATTTAAATTCTACTTAAAAATTAATGTTGCTCAGAACGAGAGAAACACGAACCTGTCAATATTGGTTCGTTATGAATGCATGCACACGCATGGAGTGGCCATTTGAATTTTTATTGCTGAAGTAAATTTCGGGCTATGCCCTTGACGCGGAGGACTTAGAAAATGATTTATATGGTTTCAAAAAATGAAGTTTCATTTAATTGGCAATCCATAGCAGCTTACTTGGGCTTGCCTAATCTTTCCTCTTTTTTTTTTACTGTACAAGAATATGTAAAGCTGCAACCAACGATGTTTCCTCAGTTGTAGCATGCCGCATGCTGTCCATTCGTATTGTCAGAATCTCTTCTCCTGTATGTGTGCCTACTTGCCCTAGAATTTTGTGCGATCAAGAATGGTCGTTTTACTCACACATATTCTAGAAATACTGCTGTGCAAATGTTCAGCATGTCATTCCCGTTATTCAATAGGATTTCTTACAGAATCACCCGCCATAGTGGTGTAGAGGTTTGGAGGCTTGACTGCTGACCCGCAGGTCGTGGGATCGAATCCAGGCGTAGGCGGCCACGTTTACGGTAGAGAGGCGAATGCTTGATGCCCGTGTGCTTCGACTTACGTGCACGCAGAAGAACCCCACGTGGTCGAAATGTTCGGGGCCCTTCACTATGGCGTCTCCACAAACTTCTTATTTCGGGTCGTAAAACCTCGGCGATTATTATAACCCTTACAAAATCTCTTTGATCATATACTTTTTATTTACTTGCCCGATAGTTAAAAAACACATGGAACTATATAACATTCTGTAACATATGGAATTATACTATTCTAGCATATGAAAAAATATTGAATTGACGAAACGGCATACGCATAGTTTCAGAGCAGTTGTCTTAATTATTTTTGAACCCATTGACTTTCAGAGCCTTTAGTAAGCTGTCTTCACGTTAATATCACAGTTTGCCCGTATGGTTTTGTAAGCTCGAAACGATAATTGTGAGACTTCATCATTCACAAAATGGGCTACTTCCCATTTGTCTAGAACCAGCCAGAAAGTTTGTTTTTTTGTGTCTTGATTCCCCCGTAAAGCTCATTTTTCATAACCACCTACGCGGAATCGAATCCCGGCTGCGGCGGCTGCATTTCCAATGGAGGCTGAAATGTTGTAGATCCGTGTGCTCAGATTTGGGTGCCTGTAAAGAACGCCAGGTAATCTAAATTTCCGGAGCCCTTCACTACGGCGTCTCTCGTAACCATGTGGTGGTTTTGGGACGTTAAACCCCCCATATCAATCAATCGAACAATCATAACCATCTAGCAACTGTTCCTAACAGTGAAGCGAACTTTTTCCGTGCACCATGCTATTCTGTCGCGCCAATTCTACTCGTTATCTTTCGGCATTACCATTATTTACACGTCCTTGATTCGATGTGATGAACATTAAGTCCCGGTTGACTCGGGCCAGATTATTATTTTTTTATCGGAGCCCTTAGGCCCCCACTTCTGCGTTTAGTGGCGTCGCCGTTACATTTAGCGGGGTAGGTGTAACCGGTTAACATAAAAAGTAGTCCGATAAACACAGAAAAAAGTTAAAATAACACCACTGGTTGAATGAGATTCACACCTGACCCTTTAGTATGACAGTCAAGTGTTCTTTCACAAATCCGTGGTAGTGCTCGAAACTTATTTTCGAAAATGCCGTGCGCAGCAGTTATGTCGGGCAAGGAATCGAGTTAACCATATAGTACGGTTTGGCAGATGCATCAAATAAGAGCCAGTCATCACACAATATAAAATTGCGCAAAAATCGTGTGGTTCAGCTCTTTCTACTTTTTGAAAGGTGCCGAGTCGTGAGTGTATACGTCATCAGGTACTGGTTTAGTGGGTAGATGTATAGTGGGTGCCTTGCTTATTGCAGAAAAATGAATACTGGCTTAGTTGGCGCTGTCCTACATTGCAAAAAAAAAAAAAAACTACGATTTTATGGCACGGTGGATGCCGTCCAAGAAGCCGAAATTTTAAACACAGCTCTTGACGCAACACGAAGCTTTTCTCCTAATTCGCGTTGAGCAGTATCATAATTGTCGGCGAGTTTTCCTTACTGGGCAACGAGATGCCATGAGGTAACATTAAAATTTGTAGCGTTTCACTTTCGAAAAGTTTCTAATTACTGATACTTGACAGGGTGAGTAAATACTTGTGTTAAAGAGAGAACTCAGACGTCGAAGTCTGCTTTGTATTCGACAGAATTTTTCGAGAGATTTTTTGTCCTCTTAACTAAAATAGTCTCTACTACTTCAAATTTGTAGCGCAGAAGCAGAGGATCAGAAGCATGTGCTGGCTTAATATCTATGTAATCCTTTGACAGCGACCACAGCCACGTACCGTCATTTCCAAAAGGCCGCTATCGTAGCCGTCGCCATATGTGTGGTAGTGCATGTGGGCTTCATCGTATGATACTTAAGCGAAGTAATTGGACACATGTGCTTTTTAGCGAGGGCTACATTGGCTATATTCTCACCATTTCACTGTGGCCAGTGGCCGCACCTCCAGCTGAGCCGTTTCCTAGCCACAACTGCTAATGGCTGCATCACTCGCCGCGCTATTTGGAATGACGTCATAGAAGGAGCTGGTGAAACCCTGTAGAAAAGTGAGTTGGAAAAACTGAAAGAAGCATGGCTTTGTTATTAGAATGAAACCAAGTGGAAGTGGTGAGCCGAGCAGACAGAGGAAAACACCTCGAGAAACATGACCGCACAAATAACCAAGCTAAACAAAAATATTAACCATACCTTTTCGCTATACACACCCAAGCTTAATGGAGTTAAGCCACAGCTAATTTTTCCTATGCCCCGCCGCGGTGGTCTAGTGGCTAAGGTACTCGGCTGCGGACCCGCAGGTCGCGGATTCAAATCCCGGCTGCGGCGGCTGCATTTCCGATGGAGGCGGAAATGTCGTAGGCCCGTGTGCTCAGATTTGGGTGCACGTTAAAGAACCCCAGGTGGTCAAAATTTCCGGAGCCCTCCACTACGGCGTCTCTCATAACCATACGGTGGTTTTGGGACGTTAAACCTCACAAATCAATCAATCAATCAATCAATTTTTCCTATGACTTTTCTCATCACTTGCTATGACGTCAGACTCTCCTATCTTGGATCGCTGAATAAGCACATATTTGTGGCGCATTGTATGCACTTACAGGTACCACCTCATTGGTCGAGTTTAATGAACATGCTGCCTGATAGAGCAAGGTAGCAGAACCCAATGCCACTATGAAGGTCATGATGTTTTTTTTTTCTACTGTTCATAAAAGACTAATGACCACTCACACATCTATGTACTTGCTTTATTTCAAGATGGCCCAATGCAGTTACTGCAAAAAGGCGATCCCTAAAAAATCAGTGCATCAGCACATGGAAGACTGTCGTGAAAACCTGCAAATGAGATTGCAGCACGATGAGACAAACTTCGAGGTGACTATGGACTTTTCTTTGCCTACTTTTTCATGATTGAACTACCAAACAGCTGGTAATAGGCCACTCATGTAGTCTTTCGTTACCTTTACAATTTGTCTGTGCAAAAATAAATCGTGCTTTACACTATTCGTGCCCATATTTATCGAAGCAGAATATGAGACCAGTTAGATCAAGTGCTAACCTAGAGGTTGCCAAGGTGTTTTTGCACCACTTTTTGCTTTGTTTATGTTTAGTTCAAGCCAATTACGCAAGAAGACACTCAAAATGTTTCGGTCTAATTGCCACTTATTAGCACCATTCTTTCTCTGGTTGTGTGTAGCCCTTGTTATCGGTGAATGCTGTCATATACCATCATATTTAACTGGCTTGCTAGTCCATCTTGAATAAATATTCTTAATTTACATTGATTCATCGTTACCGATAGAACATGTATGGGCTTAACTTGGCACACAAAAGCACAGTCGCTTTCGTACAAGAAAAATATCTTCCCACTACACAAAATAGGGCCACTCCTGCCAACATCAGCGGCTAGAAGAACATGCTTTTGGGCATGTTGGTGCCTTAGTTTGCTGAACATTTCATAACTGGAGTGGATTAAGGAAGGACAACTCAGATTGATTGAGTACAATAGACGTGTCACTCACACAAGCCGGCCTATCACTTCTAACATAACACACTTCTAGCAGTTCCTATGCTGTTCGGACTGTGCTTTTGCCGATAATCCTACCTTGCCGAGTTGTCCTTCTTTAATCAACTGATGGCGTGTCTGTGGTAACTTTTTCATGCCACTCTATGGGTGAAAGTTTACTTGTTTTTCAGCCTGCACCGGCTACAAACACTTGGTAGTCTGGCGGTTGTCTCTCTCTTTTCTCTCCTCTTTTTCATGTTCCTTGTGTGGTACCAGTTACGAAACGTTCAGCAAAATAAGTGGCTAGGTAAGCGAGAAAAGCGATGAAAATCCTGACGCCGCCTTCTGTTTTCCTCGCCATCTCAATTGTCATGACGTCATGGCTTTTGACGATGCATCCTGGTGTCTACGAAATATTATCAGCCAGGCGATTCGCAATGGAAGATTCCGAAAGTTTTATCGAGCCAATTAGCCACAACACAAAAAAACGCCTTAAAATATATGACGTCTCTGCAGGTTGTCAAGGTACCGAAGTGCGGCGTGAAACTTTAAAACATGAATCAGTGAGCCTCATTTTCACTTCTAGTAGTAAACTTTTATGACTGCAAAACAGAGGACGATATATTTCTCAAAAACATTATCAGCCTACACAAAACTTATTGTGGCAGTGCAATAATACACTTCTGTCAATAATACACTGTGCATTTCAACGTTTATATTTTTAATTGATGACCGTACGACTGCACAAATGGTATAGATCAATGCGTAGTTTTTGTCAAAAACTAGCTTATGGTAGACCATCAAAAATGCTAGGTCTTTGGTAAACGTAGATGGCCCAATAGTGTATATATATATATATGGGAAAGAAGTGTATACCTAAGTGCTCGTTTTTCCGTGTTTTGACGCAATAATGAGATCTAACACACAATAATGCCAAGGAATAATGTATAGGGGAAGTTATTAGAACAAATGGAATGTAAATAAGAAGAAAGGTGGGTGAAAAAATATATATATATATATATATATATATATATATATATATATATATATATATATATATATCATTTTAAAAGGGTGCAATACGATGGTTTGTTGGTTATTTGATATCATAAAATTATTTGTGCATCACAGTAATATGGCACTTGTATTGGCTTTCCTTTTCCAAGTATTCATTACGCACTTCACAGTTTTTTGTTCAGCCAAATCTTTATTGGTAGACTTCTGGCCTTTTAAATGCATACACTACCAATTACGGAACAACATGAATGATTCAGTGATATAGAATATATTTATTCATCTAATTATTTATCAATTGACCAATCGATCGTTAGAATTGAAGAGCTGAACCCTTCGCTATAAACAAAATATTCTAAAAATATACATTCTTCTATTTTGTACGTTCTTTTTCATTTCAGCCTAAACAAGGAAAGAGTTGTAAGACCAATGCACGACGTGACAGTTTGGGGGATGTAAGTGTTTCAAAATACTTTTTCTTTGAAATGTTTTAATCTCAGCTCCTTAAACACACTGTTTTCACGGTCACTTCAGATGTCAGAAGATTTTTCAGATGACCGAGACATGCCTTCATTTGAGGTAAGTTTGTGCCTCGCGGTATCTTGCGATTTTTTTTCTGGACATATTTTGTTATGCTCTGCTAGACGAATGATGACACTGTCGGATGCAGCAACAAAACTTACTGGTGGTGACACGAGTTATTTCAATGTAAGTAGAACGTCACTTATTTCCTTGGTAAACTCTTATCTACTAAAGCATGACCAGTTTCATTCAGTTTTGTGTGTGATATTATGCTTTGACCCTAATAAGCATAGAGCAGTTCACAGTTAGTACAAATGTTTTCTTTTTTCACAAAAAACAGCATACTTTCCACTAATTCACACAAAGATGGGTCTTAGAAGGCTGCTGAGCATGTTCCAGCTTCCCTCGTTTCTGCTTCACAGGGCAAACTGTCCTTCTTATGCAGTACTGTACACAGCTGTGTTTTCTCTTTTGCATTTTGTACCTTCTTTTTTGTTTCTCTTGCTTTGCATTTTTTTCTCTATTTCTTTCGCTGATCTTCTACAGTTTTCTTACTTCCTCTATTCTTCTCTTTCTATGCCTTTGCTTCTCTCTCTCTCTCCTTTTCTCCCTACCTCTGTAGTTAATCTATCCCCTTGTAATTTTTATCTGTTTCTTCCGTTTCTATTTTTCTGTCTTTTTTTCTTTGTATATCTCTGTCGCTTTTTCTTTGTCCCTTTAAATGTCTTTCTTCCTCTGTTTTTTTATATGGCCATGCCAATCTTGTATCAAACTTTAAACATCCGCGGTATTGTAATAGTGTGTCTCTGGTCTATATTACTCTGAAACAATTATGCTCAATAACATTGTCGCTAAACTCGTAAACGCCTTCTTGTCCTCTTTAGGGTACCAAGGAAAAAACCGAGAAATCAGCCTTCCCTACAGACTCCATTGAGGTCGGTAACTTTGTGATCGTATTTCCGCCTAACCCCTTTTCTTTAGCCTATCACGTGCGGTGATTTGGTTTTAATGGGAAACCTTTATTTCATTGGTATATATTGTGACTATCCAACATTGTTGAAAAATATTTCTCACCAATAAATCGTCGCTTATTATTTACTTTTGCGTACAAATGAAATTTGTAAAACAAAATACACGATGGCAACTATATGGTAATGACCGAGAATACAAGTATCCATGCCAGTATAGTGCCTAGAAAATACAGAAATTAGTATTTACATACATACCAGGGAGTAGGGCATGCTTGTAAAAAGGCAAACTTGAGAGGCGTACTTATCGAATTTTGATTACTTGTGCTAACCTAACGCAATTTGAATTCGTAAATGCGGCCTTTTTGAGGAAATATGACTTCTTCGTGTCACCCTAATAATATTAATATAAAGTATATTGTACAATAATCCACAGGTCGCATGCACCATGGAAATTGAGAAGAGGTTTAGTCCTCAAATCTCAAAGTTTAATGGTTTTCAGGCTGAATAAAGAAGTTGCTAAATGGTAATAATGCATGCAAACTTTTCTCCTGCTTATATATATATATATATATATATATATATATATATATATATATATATATATATATATATATATATATATATATATATATATACATTCTGCGTGGTTCATGGACGCAGTTATTTATGTTGTCTTTTTCGGTGTTTTTTTCGTACTCATTTCGTGTTGCTCGTATATAATATAAACTTAAAACCATCTGTTCCTTCACACTTCAGCTTTCTCATCAGCTGGCTGATGCCCTCGATCAAATACGCGACTTGAAGGAAGAAATATCAGAGGTGAGATCACCCGGAATATTGGTAATCCATATCGGCATCTAGCACACAACACGAGGACCAAGTTACAGCCGAAGAGCACCTGTCATTGCTTTAACCACTTAGCGCCAGTCTTCTTTGGTTGTAACTCGGTGTTTGAGTAGTGCACTAGATGCTGAATAGTGAGATCAGCATTGGCGTGGATCAAGAGCTGGTGAACCGTTCAATCGTGTAACCAGGTAAAGAGGTTTTTCATGTTTTCCTCGCACCCATTGCCCAATCTTCGTGCCTGTATGTCCCTGAACAAAGCCTTGATAAATAACTGCTGTAAGATCCAGAGCAAGCCCCCACCCCCTTACTGTGAAATATAATCGGACAGGATTTGGAGGATTCATGCTTGGTCATGGACTAAACTGAAGGTGGTGGGACAGCTGCAAGGAAATACTTCTAATGAAAGGCTTTATTGAATGCCCATGTTACTATGTTACTATGTTATTACTCAGCTGGAGAAAAACTTTTGAAGTTTTATTAGTTATAACAAGGAGCAAAGACGTTTTTGAAGTGTTCGGACAACTAGTGACAACTCGGACTTCAGAGCTCAGAATTACCGCACCTATTTTGATATGTGCACAATTTTGTCGCGCACATATCAAAACACTCGGCGGACTTTTGCTCCTGGGAGCCGCTGCTGCAGGATTTTGTACCGTAGGACCGATTACTAAAAAAAATGACTAAATGGTTGGGCACTTGCCCCGCCGCGGTGGTCTAGTGGCCAAGGTACTCGGCTGCTGACCCGCAGGTCGTGGGATTGAATCCCGGCTTCAGCGGCTACATTTCTGATGGAGGCAGAAATGTTGAATGCCCGTGTGCTCAGATTTGGGTGCACGTTAAAGAACCCCAGGTGGTCGAAATTTCTGGAGCCCTCCACTACGGCGTCTATCATAATCATATGGTGGTTTTGGAACGTTAAATTCCACTGATCAATCAATCATCAGGGGTGAGCACTTGCTACTGGGTACTTGCTCCGGGCCACTTGCTACAGGGCATTTGCTAGATTGTTGGTGCATAATTTGATTCTCCCAAAATATGGGAAGGGGCAGTTGACCAGATTTTGTGCTTCTAATTACTTGAGAATTAACTACTGCTCACTCTTGAAAGAATCTTTATCTCGAGCTCTCAGCATTTAGCAGCACGTATTTTGTATTAAGCAATTAGCCACATTTATCGACGCATCTAAAGTCAACATAGGCAGTTTTGGGATATGCCATAAATGTGGACGAAATCAACACACTGCCGACCAATGTAAAAACATATTCAAAAAAGACGTTTCGGCTTCCGTACGGGAACGTTGCTCACAGTGAAGCATGATCAGCAAGTTCGCTTATCTATGAGGTCGTCTAATCCAATTTTTTAAATATATTAGGGATATACTTTGAATATATTTTACCTTGGTCGGCGCTGAGGTGATTTTTTTTGTCTTTCCCCAGCCAGGCGGGTGCCCGCCAGACTCTTGACTACGTATACCAAGAATGTGCCAGAAGTAGCATTGCTGGAGAGCGCTCTCTTTAACCTTGTCCCTTTGATGAAGCCTACACTGAATTACCTGTGCTTGTCAGTTGTAGTACAGTATTGCCTTAACACTGGTGCTGTTTGGCCACAAGTGGTACTCGCAAATCAGGCGAACATTCAAGTAAATTTTATGTTTCACTTTATCAACTTGAAGTCCCACTGTGGAGGGATCGCATAAGAGATGGGTGCCCAAAATACAACAGTGTCACCAGCTCACAAAAGTAGTGAGCTCTTACAGCTCTATTGGTAACGTGCGTTACATGAGTGCGTGCGTACGCGTATTTGTGTGTACGCCCAAAGTAGGTAGGATCATTCAACCATAGCAAAAAAAAGTAAGGACATTTTACAACTGCCGTAGAGACGCGTGGCTTCGTGTAGACAGCGATGTCACAGAACCAGTTCTGCCCCACCGCGGTCGTCTAGTGGCTAGTTCTGGTTTGGGTACCTTGACCACTAGCCCACCGCGGTGCGACCCGCAGGTCACGGGATCGAATGCCGGCTACGGCGGCTGCGTTTTCGGTGGAGGTGAAAATGCTGTAGGCCCGTGTGTTCAGATTTGGGTGCACGTTAAAGAACCCCAGGTGGTCGAAATTTCTGGAGCCCTCCACTACGGCGTCTCTCATAATCAAATGGTGGTTTTGGGACGTTAAACTTCACATATCAATCATCCATCAATCACAGCCAGTTTTTTGTAGTGTACATGGGCATGCTAAAGACAACAAAATGTTTATCTCAGCCTTTTTATTTGATTGATATGTGGAGATTAGCGCCATAAAACCACCATATGATTACGTAAGACGCCGTAGTGACAGGCTCCGGAAATTTTGACCACCTGGGGTTCTTTATAGTGCACCCAAATCTGAGCACACTGGCCGACAGCATTTTCGCCTCCATCGAAAAGCAGCCGCCGCAGCCGGGATTTGATCCCGCGACCTGCGGGTCAGCAGCCGAGTACCTTAGCCACTAGACCACCGCTGTAGGGCATCTAGCCTTCTTAAGGGTAGCGAATTTTATTCCCTCCCGTTAAACCTGCTTATCCTTGCAACTCTTCCCATTGTATATATGTGCGTGTGTGCTCCTTACTGCCACAATATAGCCCGGAATCGGGTGAGAGAAACTTTAGCAATAAATGGCATAGCATTCAGCGTCACCCATTTGCGACAAACAGAATGTCTTGCGGGCTGCTACATGGCACATCGCCTAATACAAAGGCAAGAAATGAAAGCACATTTTCGCAGCCTACGCCCTCTACTGACGTCTGCTGTCCTAACGCCACGCATTTTTGTTCCATCCACGCGAATATTTTTCTTCCACATGTTCACGAGTACGGCTTTGTTCTCAGTGAACAAGTGTGCATGTCTTATCTGAAATTCTTCTTTGATTTTACTCTTGCAGCTTAGACAGGCAGCTGCTAAAACAAAGGTAAGCTTTAGCACTATGAAACCGTGGCTGGTGAAGCTTGATATTAGTCTCATGTTTTTTGTTTGTTTTTGTTTTTGCAGGGAAGACGTTGATTTTCTCAATGTTGCAGTCCCGACAATGCAAGATGACATGAGAAACGTAAGTCCACCTCTTTCAGCTGTTCATTCATTCATGTTTTTAGGCAATGTGCTTACAGAGGAAGTTGTCGAGTTCGACTCGATTTGTGACGTAACCATAACTGGTTGGCGACATGAGTATTGTTTGGGGGACAAGGACAAAAGGTGCACGAGGATGAACCTCTCGTCTCCATGTACCTTTTCTAGTTGTCCTGAGTTCACGCTAAACAATCATGATGACCTAACAAGTAGCCCAATCCGCAACCCTGTGGTTAACTTCAGGAGCCTCTATGGACGAAAACTGACGGCACTGAAAACTCTCGCGTTTGTGTATTTTCTGTAGCATCTAATCTAAGGGGAAAAAAAGGCTGATTGATGTTAATGGGCTCAGTCACATCAAACTACGTTTTTTCGGCAGGTTCAAATCCAGTGTGAACAGCGCATCTCGAAATCAGAAAAGGCTGTCTCCAGTCTCGAGGTAAGCGCAATGCCCCCTGTGTTAAGCGGCTTGGGCTATTCTTGAACTTGGCGCCTTTTCGTTAACCTTCAGTTCCTCGTTATGCAGGAATCACGCAAATTCCTCCTGGAAACTGTGTCCCTTCTTCAAGAGGACACGAGGAAACATCTGCAAGCAGTAGGTGCCTTCAAAAGTGTCACAATAATAAATTATGGGCTGTAGGCTACTCAGGCCCAATAATGCACGGGTTGATACTCTGAATGTTTATATATTTGCCACTGTACGAATTCATAATACTTCAATATGTATTACTGCGTTGCATCTTTTTCAGAACTGTAGAGAGCTCAGTGAAATAATAATTTTTCAGCTTCGTCACTTTTAGCTTCGTCATTTTTACGTGCAGCGAGTATCACTAAAGCTCGTATTTTACTTTCAAGCATTCCAAGACAAGTACTTCTGCTTTTCCAAATATTAGGAATATCTTAATAAATACATGTGCATAAGTTGACGAAGCATAAGTTTACCTGAGACTAGGATATTTAGTGGCTACGTTAAATAATGAGAAATATATACATGAGTTAATTTAAAAGAGCCGACGCTTTTGATATGAACATTGGGCCATCTGGTTAAGCAACTCCCAAACTGGTGCTTTTTTCTACCCGTACTTCAAGATCTGATTCAGCAGCGCATGGAACTTGACTCGCTGAATACACAATTTTGTTGAAGGCGAAAAACCCGGAGGCATTCGGCCAACCAAAATGAAAAGCGAGAAACGCACAGGAAACTATACTTCGGCTCCCCTACGAGAAAGCTTGTTCACAAACGTTTTCCCTTGTCACATTCTTAGTGTACTTTGGTCGGTGCAGTGCTTCCAGGTTTTTTTTTTTCCTCCAACCCCGAATTATCTCCACCATATGGGCTTTTGTCAAATTTTAAACTTCAGTACACCATGCAGTTACAGAATCGCTGACATACGGGTGCGATGATCAGGGTTGCCTCCAGATTTTAGTTTAAGTGCAGCGCTTGCTGTGGAAGGAAATGTACAATCAGCGTCAAATGAAACCCAAACAGTGGCAAGTCTTTGCGATAGTGTAGTGCATGCCGTCCAGTTATCACCATTGACAGGCGTGCTCGTTCTGTTCCTCCGCTTTGCGCATATATGCGTAGCTGCTCGTAGTGCTATGAGGACGGCGTGCACTATAGCGTCGCAAAGGCTTGCTGCTGTTCGTGTCTCATTTGACGCTGATAGTACGCGTAAGTTATATAGGTAAGTGGACAAAGACCTCAATCTTCGTTCTAACCTTCACTAGCTAGAGGCTACCCTTCACTAGGTAGAGGTAGAAAGGGGAAGACAGATGAGAAGGAAAGGGTAGAGAAAGGAAGACTAGAATACCAAGGGCGGAAGGGCTATAACCTATTCAGTTGGCCACTACCATGCAAAAATACAAAAAGGCCTTGACTGTTTTTGTGTGCGAATACAGATCATGTTGGCATTAGAGCACTGACTGTTCTGGCAAGGGTCTATCGTCAATGTGGGCAAACATAGAAGCTAGCGGTAGTATGTGCTAGATGCTAAAATTGTGGATGACCTCCTTCCCTTTCTCTCAATCTATTCTCTCTCTCTGTCTTCGTGTTTGTACTAAGAATCTGGATTATTCACGTAAATATACTAAAACGTTTGAATTTTAATTCTTGTGGGAGGCTTGAGTGCTGACGCTACTCCAGAAGTTTAATGCCTTGTTGCGGTGTTCAATGTTGCCTGCAAAAAACCGTTCCGTCATCTTAGAGGGCACAACAACTTTAACCAAATTAATTATCGTTTTTATTCACTTAACGGCACCAGTCTCACAAAACCATCTACCAAATCTTCCGGAAGCATTCTCAACACCTGCAATTAACATTTTGCGCTAGCTTTGTTGAGCTGATGTTGCAATAAATGCAAGATGAGGCGTATTATATATCATGATGAGTATAAGGAAGCTCTATTTACGCAATGAGTGCTAGGGAACTTTCGATGTCAAACAACAGACAACACACTCATTTTGAAAGGTGGCATTTTATTACTCTATAGTTGGTTATTCGCTTCAAGCGCAATCTGCACTTTAGAGCAGTGTTTGGCTGTCTGAATATGAGGTATATTCGAAGCATAGATCAGTAAGCAAAAGTGAAACTCACTAAGACTCATTCGAAAATATATTTTGCTCTTTGGACTGACTCCAACTCCCACTCAGCAAATTTTCCTGAACCGAACTCATTCGAACTCACACTCACAAAAACATTTTTTTTTTCAATCGGACTCACTTGGACTCAAACTCAGCAAAATATTACTCAGCCTAACTCAATAAAACTCACACTCACGACTTGATCTGAGCCTGGGTGAGTCCGAGGAAGTCGACTGAAGTTCGCCTGCCTATGCTAGCAGGTCTCTTGTTGAGGGTACTCTACATGAACGCTCATTCGCGGCACTACATTCAACACTTGTCTATTGGCTGCCCAAGCCATGAAATGTCAAATGTACCAAGTCAAGCAACTTCTACACGCAAAAAATGAAGTCCAAAAGGTGTTTTGGTGGTATTACTATCTTGACCTGTGCAAGATAGGTCACAATGAAACAGTTGTGTCATTGCACTTTCCTACCCAATATTTAAACCCACAGTTTTGATGAATTAATTGAAAGAACGAGTAGGTTAATATTCTGAAACTAGGTGTGACACTTTCTTGCTAATTCAGTAAGCGTTAGCCCATTGCTCCAATGCGAATCAGAAAAGCATTGCCTTGTTTCAAGTGAAAAAGAAGAAACACGGAAATTTTTATATTCGATTTTTCCACAATTTAGTTACCTTAGAAGCGAAAACCACAAGAAGCATTGTTCCACAGTCCGTGCCATGTTAAATCGGTGCTTTGTTTCGGCTTCAAACAGCCTTTGTTCACGTTCTCTGGTGCAGGTTCAGGAGATGGTGCAGAACATGACAGAAAAGCTTTCTCTCCCTGTGCATGATTTACAGGTAACAGAAACATGAAACGTGCTTGCCACCTCATCTATCAACGTTTTTTTTTTTTTACTTATTGGCCTGCGCGGTGTACTTATTGATTGAGTTTTATGGCTTGCTAATATTTTTTAAATATTGATTGTTTCAATTAGCTTGTATTTCACAGCACGCCTGTAAATTATATTTACGCACAAGGTGTACCTAAATATTAGTCTGTAGTATCGCTTTGGTGCTCTTGTAGGTGTTGTAAACACTGCGTAATCATGCAGTCCATTCCTGAAGTGTGTACATTTCAACTTAAGTTCAAAAAGATATGATTTTACCGGTTTGCCACAATCTCTAGTTTGCTGTTATCTGCTGCTGGTAATCACTGTCTTTTCAGACGGGGATGACCAGCAGAGACACACTCCACCACAAGAGATGAGGTCAATACTAACCCCATAAAACTGACACGCCAAGAATTACAAGGTATACCCTACAATTATGTAGGTACTCTTATGGAAACGTCTGCCAGCCTGCGTGAGGCACTTCTTTTGTTAATTCTGCTTATTCAAAAAATTTTATCAAGATATTAAGCCAGGGAAGTATTTAGGTAGGCCTGAAAATGAGTACGGCGAAAACAAAGAAAATGTTGAATGACCTGGCAAACAGAATTCAAGATCGAAATCCATAAACTGGAGTGAATACAAGAATGTGTATACCTAGGACAACTACTTACGGGAGAACACAATCCCAGAAGAGAAATTCGCCGAAGAATAACAATGAGGTGCAGCTCATTTGGCAGGCGCTCTCATATGTGGTGAGCAAAACTGCCAGTATCAACAAACCGAAAAGTGCATAACCACTCCATGCTCCCGCTTTTGACGTATGGGGTGGAATCGAGGAGAATAACAACAGCAAAGAGCGAACGCTGAGGAGTACACAGCGTGCAATGGAACGTAGAATAATATGAATAACATTCAGAGATCGTAGCATGGAAGAATGGGCAAATGAAAGACTGGAATTTCCTACGTTCTAGATGACATCGAGCGAAAAAATTTACCTATGCTAGCCACATAACTCGTAGATCGGACTTCTCGCAGACAATAAGACCAACAGATTTGGTTACCAATGGAAAAGACAATCAGGGAATTGGAAAATGCAGTCGGGAACTGCCCGTAGTGTGCCCCTGTCACTGGGGCAACAGTAATCCACGCGCCACATCGCGATTATCAGTATTTTGCCAGCGTCCGCAGTGAGCCCGAAAAACCGGGGAGCTAGGTCAAGTGTGCCACGCCTACTGAGACGCTATCGAATCAGTCTCCCCAGCGAACGCGTCGCTGTGCGTAGTCGTCCCGGCAAGCGCAGCTACGCAAGTATCCCATACTTCGGGGACAACGAGTTCGATGTATCGGATCGCTGCTCACACGGTACTTCTGCGACATGGTTCAGTTCCCCCAGAATACCACTCATTGCGTGTGTGTTTCCTACTTCTGAGACACAGTCGAGGCCGATAGCGCGAATTCTCTACTTCCGATGTACAATCGAGTCCGTAAAGAACGTACCACAGCGAAAAAAAGAAGGGGCTCCACCTTATGCAACACACAGGGGCCGTTATTTAAAACGGCCGATATCAACGGACCACACAGGCACAGCGGATTACATACACAGAAACCATACGGTAAAGCTAGAAGTGCATTAGGCGAAACCGAAAAGAACCTTACCGTGTGTTTCCCTATGCAAAGCGATAAGCAAAGAGTGACGCTTCATGGCTAAACTCGCCATCGTGGCTTCTTGAGAAACTGTGCCAATAAAATTCCTTGTAATAATGAGGTAATTCTCAGTTTAATAACTTTACTGTGCTTTGATCTGTTTCAGCACGGCCTCATTTACAAATCAGTCACTTAAACACAACAACTCTTGGGTAGGAAACATGGAGCTTTATTTCTAGATATATCTGCCTATATAATACATATTAGAACAAACTGGTAACTCCATAATTAGTAAGCTAGTTCACACATCTTACTCAATATTGGTACTCAATTATGGATCTACTATTATCTTTGCAGCAAAAATGCAACTGGCTGCATGGTGCTGTCCAAGAGCTTAAGAGGAAAACGGAAAAGGTACAACACCAATCCAACTCGTCTGATTGCTGATGCGGTAATGTAAATGAGTATGTTGCCCACATTTATCTGGAATGTGTTAACTACGCAAGCGGAAGAAAACGTTAGAACACAGGTCAGCACACTGCGGCCCGCGTGGCAATAGTGTGGTCCCCGGCACGACATAAGAACCCCTGTCCACCCTTTCCTTACTACTTCTTATCTAAAGGCCGTCATGGCAATTTCGGCATCAAATAGTGTTTTGGCTTGCCATCCATGTTGCTACATTTCAGCCTTGCTACATGGGGGCTCAAAACTTGGGCATTTTTATTTCCGTTTTTAAGGAGAGATGTAACTCAAAGACACTTTTTTTTTAAGTATTCACCCTAGTGCAATGAAACTTGAGCTGTTTATGGAACTTTTTATGCTTATTTCAAGTATATAATTAGTGTCTTGCAAGTTGCATACTATTAGCTATGCTACATGACGAAGTGAAAACCTTAAACCTTCCCCCCTCCCCTTCTTTTCATCCGTAAGCTTTCGTAATTCTTTACCATTCATAGTTCATAACGCTTCAAATAAAGTGTAGCATACAAATAACTAATTAGGAAGCACTTACAAAATATGTAGTAAGCCTAAAAATAATATATAGACGTAAAAATGCCCAAATTTCACCTACCCTATAGTAAAGGTTTACATACAATTTTTCATTATAAAATAGAATATTGAAAATTAAGCTAGATAATTTTCTTTGCATACTTTGGAAAAAGTTTAGGCAAAATTTCGTGCAGATTCAAGCACTAGAAATGGCCGAAAATGGAGGGGCACATAAAAAAATGGCAAAATTTTTGTTTTGAGAAAACCGAGCTTTTAAGTTAAAATTTAGTTTTTATTTATGAAAGATGTCTTTATATGCGATGAATTTTGTACACCAAAAAGAACAATCCTTCTTGTAGTGGCCACTGCCACTGAAGCACACCAGCACCATGAGTTTGTCCCTCTCGACGTTTTCGAGCCGACTCTTCACAGACATTTCGCTCACAGACAGGGCCATGAAACGCTTGCCAAACTTCTTCCACTCTGTCTGGCAGAGCCTTGTGCCAACTGCAAGCTATGAAGAAGTTCGACAGGACTAGGATATCTAAACTAAGTCCAGTGTCGTGGGACACAACAGTGCCGATGCCATTTTGCAGCCACGTTTGTGCCAAACACCGTGACTGTACATAATCACAGTGTCGTCCCCGCTAAGCCTTCCACACTGTGAGCTTCCTTCGACCTTGCAAGATTGGCGCTGACGCCCTCCATTGCCGTATCACGAACTTTCTGGCTGATGGCTGTGAATGACTTTTGATTCATTGGTTTTTGCAAGCCAACAACGCCGTGAATCAGACCAGCTGCTCGTAGTCTATTCCTACAGAGCACACCGCCCCAACGGCTTTCTCGCGCGAGCAATTGCTTTTTTTTTTCATTGATAACAGAGATGAATACACGAAAAAACTCCCAAGCATTTCCCCGAGGGTGAACATGGTTAAGTGCGAATACACGGGGTGATGCTATGAGGGGTATTTATTAATTCGCACTATTATATATATTAATCACACTATGGTGCCTTTATGGTGTAATGGTTCCTGGGAATCGCAATTTGATCACACGGGGGAGTTTACGTTAACTCACTTGCGAATGCCAACGGATTTTAACTTTACTCCCCCTCACGACCCGCTCTCGGCGGGAGACTGGGAGAGAAGGCGGGCGCGCGAGAGAGAGGGGTGCGCGCGCAGCTGCAGCGAGCGAGGAGAGCGGAGGAGCGAGCGAAGGGGGAGGGGGTATAATACCCGTGCCACACGGGCAGAAAAAATGGCATTTACCCCCGAATGCCTTCCGATTTATTGCCATTCGCGCGGTGCCACACAGGCGAACAAAATGGCATTCATCCGAATGCCATTCGAATGCCATTCGCCACCAAATGCCTTCACCAGAACTCAGTTGACTGAGAAATGCCTACTCTCGACGACACAGCTCGCGAAGTGCGATTTACCTGAAAGTATATAAAACAAATCATATTGAGCTAAAATAAAATTTCCCGCCTTTTATTTGCACTAAAGTCTTAAAAAGGTGCTTTGAACGTTATACGAAGAAAATAAAGTATCGACAATGAAACGCTTGTCGCGTTTAACGAAACTTTGGCAAACAAGCATGCAACACTGGTATTTTCATCGCCATCGCCATCGAGTTCACTTTCTCCGTGACTCAGGTTGAAATGGTTTGATATTAATTGAAGTTCAATGTCCTGAAGCTGCCGCATAATAACTCGCCTCTGCTCCAAAATTATTCGCTCTTGAGCACGATGCTTTGCACGGAAACACACAAGTGCTGCCGTGAAAAAAACGAACTCTGCGAACATCTTCTTCTGAGAGATGCGACAGGTGCAATGCGACATGATTGATATGTGGGGTTTAACGTCCCAAAACCACTATATGATTATGAGAGACGCCGTAGAGGAGGGCTCCGGAAATTTAGACCACCTGGGGTTCTTTAACGTGCACCCAAATCTGAGTACACGGGCCTACAACATTTCCGCTCCATCGGAAATGCAGCCACCGCAGCCGGGATTCGAACCCGTGCCCTACGGCAGGTGCAATGTGACAGGCGCCATTTTCTATTTACGCTGTGTATCTGAGTAGTGTTGGCTTAGGTTGCTACGGTCGGCTGCAACATTGTAAAACAAAGCAAGAAACTAAAACTAAGGACAGCGTAATACGCTTATTTCTACATTTAATGATTATCTGATGTGTATGAAGCTTGTAAATGCTTCTTAATTTTTTTTTGTTGCTATTCACTCAATGCTCACTTGGAAGGTGCTGTGATCGACATCATCAAGTCAAATGTCATTCGCTTTGGACGTGTAGCAGCGCCGGCGAAACAAATGTCATTCAGGAACTGAAGGCCTTCGCCACCAAATGTCACTTTCTATGCCCGTGTGGCACGGGTATAAGGCGCGTTACTGACACCGATATCAGCGTCGCGTCCGTGGCTTATTCGGTAGAGCGTCGCGCTGCGGCCCGCCAAGTCCTCTTTCTTTTAAAGATAGAGAGAAGACTGCGGACGCCGCCGACGGCGGTGGATGGTTTGGGGTCGCTTATAAAGTGTATTCACACTTAAAAAGCATTGTTCAGCTGTGCTTCTCGACAAGACATGGACTCCGCAAGTAGGCTTTACAGCACACACAGGCGCGCAGCTGCCAATGGCGGTCCCCGATCCGTACCACATGACAAGCCAGTCGCGGCGCTCGAGAAAGTGCGAAAGCGTGCTTCTTTTTATTATTTCTTGCGCCGCATCAGCGAGGGAAACTGTCGTCATTGGAAGAGTGAGTCTCGACTCTTCGCATCATGCGATCGAGAATAGCGAGTGGAGGCGCATTATCGGCGGCAAGGTGCTCGAAGACTGCATACTTTGGGCCTTTTAACAGGCACCTTGTGCTCTTTAGACGCAATTTTAAAGCATTTCCAGTTAAGTCGCGACATGTATATTTTTCAGCACAGTAGGTACTAACCTTATCAAAACAGGCGAAAAGAAAAATGGTTAACTTGAAAAAAAAAGTACGCCTTTTTTGACCCGCATCTCCCCTTAACAATATTTCATTAATTACAATTGGCGAAAATTTCAGTTGTTGTCTGAAAATGAGCTGCCATGTGCAGTTATGTATGAAGTCATGTGTTATTCCGTACACAGTGGGTAGACATGAGGCAGAAGTGTGTGGTGTGTGTGTGTGTGGTGTGTGTGTGTGTGTGTGTGTGTGTGTGTGTGTGTGTGTGTGTGTGTGTGTGTGTGTGTGTGTGTGTGTGTGTGTGTGTGTGTGTGAGAGAGAGAGAGAGTGAGAGAGTGAGCAGCACATTTCAAGCATCGCAGCAACAACCACAGCAAGCATAGGAGCACATACTAACGGCTTCCTCTTTACTGGCTCGGTGTGGTCAACAAAAAAATCAAGAGCACCTTTAGGGGGCGAAGCTCCTTATGGAGTGGCTTGTGCGTCCCCGTTGTGGATAACCACCCCTCGTTAATTCTTGAACCGGCCATAGAGGGCGGTACTTGTACTATACACTGAAAGATGCGACTGGTACGAGGCTAGAGGGCTGTACTTGTAGAAAAGTATGGACGCCACACGTACGAAATGAGAGAGAGACGATCGCGTGACTACGCTCGCGTGTTCTTCGGCGGCTCCGTATGCCAGGGAGCGCTCTTTAGTACAATAAAAGCATCGCATGGGCGCGCGCCTTCAGACGCTTGGCGGTGGAGGATGGACAAGGCTGCTGAGCGGCGTGCGCGCAGGACGGTGGCGGTGGTGGCGGCGGCGGCGGCGGCTCGCGGTCGAAGAAGAGACCCCGACGAGTACCCTGCAGTACGACAACGGGAGGCCGAAGCGGCAGCGGCGTGCACACTCATCTTCGCCTCACTCTCCATCATCCAACCCCGTGGATATGCTGTCATTTTTTGCGCTTACTTCATTTCTGTCAATGCCTGCCGTGGTGGCCTAGTGGCTGGAAACTGGGCTGCTAGGCTGCATTTTCGGCTGCGTAGGCTTCCGTGATTTTTCGTGAAAAGAGAAAGATTTTTCAGCTGTTTTTGATAATTCATTGTGATTTCCAGGCCACGTGCTGCGCCGAAATGTTTCACTCACTGCCCCGCCGCGGTGGTCTAGTGGCTAAGGTATTCGGCTGCTCACCCGCCGGTCGCGGGATCAAATCCCGGCTGCGGCGGCTGCATTTTCGATCGAGGTGGAAATGCTGTAAGCCAGTGTGCTCCGATTTGAGTGCAATCCAGGGAACCCCATGTGGTCGAAATTTCCGGAGCCCTCCACGATGGCGTCTCTCATAATCATACGGTGGTTTTGAGAAGTTAAACTCTACATATCGTTCATATCCATCAATTATTGATGTCAATAATGGCTCCTTCAGATCTTCTATAGTCGCGTAGCTTACAAAACTATTTCTGCTCCATATATTCAAAAGGGTCTGCCATCTTTACCCTTTTTTTTCTGATTTTCAGATGCAAGAAGACTACTGTGAGCTTGTGCAAAACATTTTTACACCTCAAGAGGAAACTAAGAAAGGCAAGAAAGGTTCATCCTCTCGCTAATAGTTTTCTCTGGAGGGCCACAAGTCCACGCCATGTTTTCCTTAAATTTGGCCCTTGAAAGGAAGATGTTTTCTATTATTTCTTTTTGATTGTTGTGCGGTAACTTACGCTTTACTTCTGCATTTTGTGTGACAATAAATAAATGATCACAATCGAAGCACTTGTGTATTTTTTCTTTTATATTTCAGACAGCATTAAGGAATCGTCAGAAGCGAAGAACGTGGGACGGGCACATTGAAGCTTAGATATTAAAGATATTTGTGGTTCAGAATAATGATGGAAGACATTGGGGTAACTGCTAGCATAAAGGAGTACTGACGTGATTTTTAAATATTTTGGTATTGATACTCTAAATAATCGAGGACCCAAAAAAGAGTGTCATGGTGCCTAGGAATGAATCGCATGTATTTTAGTGCTGCTATCTTGAAGGGACGCTTTTCGTTTCTATATCGAGGGGATGGCTTTTTTGTGATGTGCCATGAGAGCGTGACGTCACGGGAAGACATAAGTTTGAGACTACTTGCGGTAGATGTGCCATCTCCTCATGGGGAACGTAGCGATGAGGGCATTGCCCCTAGCGACCCCGACAGCGATTTCTGTGATTGAGGACTCATGTAGGCCGCAGAGTTCGCAAACTAAATGTAACTAAGTTTACTCATCAGTATGACGTCCATGGCGGTTGGGCTGGCTTTCTGGTGCTCAGCGACGAAAACTTCAAGATCAATAAAATATTTTATACTTGTTTGAAGACTCTGGCATGCGGAGAGTGCTAACACTGCACACCAAGAAAACCAAAAATGCCCCTTTGTGTTGTCTCAAAATTATGTCAGTACTGCTTTAAGTCATATTACTTAAAAGATTATTGAGCCTTGCCCTATGGGGGAAAATCGGGGCAAGTGATCCTCGACTTCTGCATGCATGCCATACTGCTTTTCTTTCGTTCCTTCTTTCTCTCTAACTCATTGCACTACACTCTCTCCTGTTTCCTTTCTCCACGCCAGGAATTGGTCCGCGATTCTTGTGTTTAGCAGCGCATTATCTGAGTTGCTACAGGCGACTATGGTCATGCATTCATTACCAGGCAAAAATGAAATTTGGCAAAGTGAAATAAAAAATTACCTCAATAATCTCAATTAAACATAAAATTATACAACAAAATTGTCGTCTCACAAGCATACTAAGAATGGCGGGGAAAGAAGATAAAGTAGAATGGAGCTGTAGTAACCCTTGTAACCACTCCAACGACGTAAGCAGCAGTGGATTTTAGGTTGATGTTAATATTTTATCCACCATGAGAATACACATGGAACAAAAAGAAAAAGGGTAAGCGTCCCATCACACAAGTGAAGCCCACCATGTTGGCCTTCTAACCATTTCTTTCAACGGTTCCAAACTAGGAAGTTCGTTTACCAATTATTTACTGCATAGTTCATCTTGCAACTGAAATAGCAGCTCACTGTTTTCGCTGTACCTATATACAACTATTGCTTTAAATAAACCTTAAAATGTTTTTCTTGTAAACATTCACGGCAATATAGCTTGTCCGTTAAAAGATTTGTTCGTCTTTGTATATTTTCTAAAGCGTTTTGGATCGCAAGACCACAAATACGTATTTGTGACATGCAGGCTTTTTTTTTAATTTTCCTAATTATCAAATACATGTTGTATGACGTTAGGTCAACTTCAACTCAGTAATCATTTATACATTACCAAGTATATGAGTACATATCTTCTTTCTTTTTTACTTTTATACACATTGAAAGTACCATGTTTTACGAGTTCTAAGGTACAGAACCTGTAAAACCTGATGCATGGCTTTCTGCCGGCATCACCAAGCGTCATTTAACGTCTTTCGAGCTGATTTATTTATTTATAATTGATTTAAACGTGGCTAAATATATAAAGTACAACTGTTTTCGCAGAAACAAAAGACGTTGTCTCGGGGTGCCATCACCTGTCTTCACGGAGAGCTGGGCATGGTATACTCCATAATAGACATCTCTTCGTTATCGTCGTCTTCGATGTAGCTGGCATAAAAATGCCCAGCACGTGCGTGTCACTGTTGAACTGTTTCGTGTTAGCTGCGAAAATGCGGCCTGCAAGTAAAAAAAAACGATAGCATAATCAAAGAAACTCTTCATGCTGTTGTGGAGTAAGTGTCCTCTAACATTTCTGAGATGCAATACCAACTAACCCACCAAGTCAACCTTGTCAAAGAGGTTCTAGTTGTGTTTATCTGGAGCCCCTTAAGTCAAATGGATGTTTTCCTGGATTCACTCTCGCGTAAGTGGAGCCTGTTTTTTTTTTCTTCCATCTCCTGCGTGTTCATTCTTTTGCGAAAGAGCGATTAGAAACAAAAAAAAGTTCATATCAGTGCTCGAATTCCGTCGTCTTTTTTTATTTCCCTTGTGCGGTCGTAAGGTAGCCCCTAATATGCAGAACTACAACGACATGCTTTGGGTGCTCCACGATACTCGTGCCTTTAAAGGGACACTAAAGAAGAAAAAAAAACGATTTTCGCTTTGTTAGTAAATTACTGTTTCGTAGCCACAAAACTACGACGCTTACCGCAAGAACGTACTGGGTAAGCGAAAAAATTCGAAAACGAAAAATTCCGGTGCTGACATCACCATCAGGTTTTCACCTCAATCACATCTGCGTCATAGATTTTGATGTTGTCTATCAGGATCAGAATACCGCTTCCTACTAAGTCGGAATACCTTTTTTTGTCCTACTTATTCAAATAACCCTCTTAACAACCTCGGCAAATAAAAGAATGATTGCGTTATTTTTTGCTGACATTTCCCTTCTTTTGAGCACTATTGGCTCAGCAGTCTGTTTATGTGACATCGTAACAAAATAAACTCTTCACTATTCCGCATGGGGGATAAACTCTTCATTAATCCGTATGGGGGATATAAATGTTGATTTTCTCCGACCCTGCTTTGCCGTTCAGCCGTAAATGCCCGTTGCATGACTAACGCGAACGGTCAACGTATTTTACTTCGTTTTGTGCATTTTTTTACTGTTCAAGCGGAAGCAACATCGTGTAGCCGAAAAGCGCAATGTGCTGATAGTGTCAGTTCTTCAGTCTGACAGAGTTTATGTGTATAATGAAAAAAAAAATTGAACAGATGCCAAGTACCATGAGAATCCAGGTTATGCGAAGCACGCAGAGGGAAGGTGACTGTGGCGTAATTTTTATTGAGAGAAATGTCAAAAAGTGATGCGAAAGATGCGTGCAATCTTTTAGCATAGGTAATATATCAATATGAACGGTTTAACTTCCTAAAACAATAACATGATTATAAGAGATGCCGTAGAGAAAATGTTTACCAACCCGGGTTCTTAACGTGCCCCTAAAATTGCAGCACAGACATGTGTTGAACAGTCACATATGTTTTGTATAACCAGGTGTTTACACTTACGTGACGATACCAACTGCAACATGGGTAACACCAACACCAGAAACGGTAAGCTGATATGTGACGCTTGTGTTTGCTACAATGGCAGTCCTTGATAATGCTGCGTGCCCCATCTTCAGAGGCTGGCGTTCAAGTGTACAACAGACGCTGACCCGACGGGACCCCTCTATCATGCAGTACTTATATAATAATTCTAAAATTAGATATTGGTGAGAATAAAAGAGGCATGGGTGTCTTTGACGCCTATTCAGCAGAACCATGGTTCAACTGAGCAGTGCTGAACAGTTCAGCACCGACATCCAATATGTCAACGGGAAATGCAATGTGGTCGCCGACGCGCTCTCACGTGTAGCAGCGATTTGTTAGTTCAAAGCTCTCAAAATGCCGTCATTCTGAGATTCGACAGTATGGCTATTCGACAGTGTCCCGAATATCACGTAAGAATTCATTTCATTTCACCAGCAAGCCCTTGAACTGGCGGAACAGCTTTGAGATGCGGGCTCGTGTCTGCGTTAATGTTCGACAAAACCAAATGACCCGAACATGCAATGGGTTCATGGAAAGCATGAATGCGGTTTAATTGTTGTAATTGACTGAAGTCTGTAAGTTAAAACCCGAGGCACGGCGCCAAGCAAGTGTAAATATAAAAAACACACACCAGAATAAACTTCAATTGCCACACGGGAGTGTCGTTCACAAACAAAATAAAAACAATGGTATGTGGGGTTGAACGTCCCAAAAAAACAAAATTAGAAAATAAAAACATGTCTCCGAGTAGGTCAACTTAAGTACGCTTGAATACGCCACGCAAACAGCGCGCAGTGACGGTAGATTGCCATCACTCTAGTTGAGAATGCGCCTGTATCACGAGCGACTCGAGATAAAGTCGTCGGGACAGTGGTTTTTTTTTTTTTTTTTAGCAAGAACACTTGCATTCCCGTTGTAGTGAACTGAAGTGTACAATCTGTGGCGTAAATTGAACTCACGTGGATGAAAAATAATCCTGTCCATGCTTTAGCTCTAAACCCACAGCATTCCCATTGCGCTTCCCATCCAGCTAACATGTCCAGAAAATACTAGTGCAGAACCACCCGATGATGGGGACGAAGAAGTGCCTTTGTACGTACGTAGCTGAATCGGTAAAGCATTGATCATGTATGTCAGAGGTTGTGGGTTCATGTCACACCAACGGGAAAGGTAAGTTTTCAACAACTTAAATTTATTTCAATATGCATCGCCATCGGTGTACTAACCTGTGCTTTTCCTAGTCTGATTGTCTTTTCGATTTGCTGGGTTTCGCCTTACGTATAAGCGAGCCCCTCGATAGAAATTCCTCTTGTCGAAGTACATTAGAAAACTCATGGGTGAGGACAAAGCAGTGGCGTAGCGAGGGGAAGGGGAAGGCAGACAGGGCCCGTGGCCCCACCCCCACATTTTCTTTCTGCCATGACGAACAAAGCCTAATATGACGCTTGACCACATCTGCCTATAAGGCCTCCCCTTAAATAAAGGTGGTGCACACCCCCCCCCCCTCCTCAAAAAAATTTCTTCATGCGCCCCTGGGACAGAGTCACGTCAGTGTGAGGAAGTCGCTGCTGGATAACGAGTGCTTGTTCCGCCAGCGTAACCCTTTGCGGCAAGGCTCGCAGGAAGCAGGGCCTCGCCTGCGCCAGCTCCGCTCGAGCAGGAAACGTCGCCCGTCCCTCCGCTTATCGCCGTTCATTTCCTGGCC